ACAGCCAAAACCAGAGGCTTATAGTTCTTAAGAGCTAGGGGCCAATGTTGTTCCAGTCTTTGAAAGCCAGAGGGTTATGGCCCTCTGAACTCAGGTTGAAGGCTGGTTGCTTTGTACTGTGGCCACTCACTGATGCTCCACACATGTCAGCCCTTGTAGTCCCCAGCTTCAGGCAGTTGTGTGCAGTGGAGGCAGACAGCATACACTACAGCAGGCAGCTGTTTCTAGTGTCACTGCTTCCATTCAGCCCTGGGTGCTGGGAGCCTCAGCTCCACAACGGCAAGTGTCCCAGGTGCTGCATTTAGGGTTTTGTCATCCTCAGTTATTAACAGCAATGTGTCTGAGAGTGCATCTCCAAGGCCTAGCATCTTTCTGGAACTCTTCCAGCCAGCACAGCCTGCACTTTCTCTTCTCTTTACACACAGCCTTTATCTTTTGTTAGCCTTCGTTCTCTTTCCTCACTCACCTTTTGCTCCTGTTACTAGTCTGTCTTTCCTGGCCACTCTCTGGCATTCTTCAGCTGCCTTTCATCATTACTGCCCCTGTCACCACTGTCTGTCACCGCTGCTGCTGCTGCTGCTGCTTCCACTATCGTTTCTCTTTCATGTTACTCCATCACCCTGCTCTAAGGATGAAGATCAAAAATAGACAAAAAAAAGACGACTTCAGAGAAGGCCTGAAATTTCAACACCAAAAAGGTAGTGATCATCTGATTATGTAGCCAGAGGGGTGTGTGTCAAGGGTGTCTGTGCCAATCACATAAATTCATGTAAATGTAGGACTGGGTTTATTCTAGATGAAGTCTAGAACAAGTGAAGTCTCCTGCTTTGGCCAGGGTGGAAATGGCAAAAAAAAAAAAAAAAAATCACCACTTGCTATTTGAAACAGCTGTGTGTGGCAGTGCCTTCAGGAGCCAGGGCTGTGTTCTGGGAGCCATCAACAGTGACTTCTCTATGGCTGGCTTCCTCAACACATCTGCGGAGTTTTCAAATCAGCTAATACTAACACAATGATAACCTGATAGGCAAGATTAAAATCATCCTAATCCCCAACATCTTAGCTTACTTAAAGGAAAATGTAACATTAAAAGGCACCATTATCAGGATGCTGTAGCACACATCTATAACCTCAGCACTGGGAGGTTGAGGAAGAAAGGTCACAAATTCAAGGCCTGCTGGAACTATATGTGAGTTTGAGGCCAGCCCAGACTACTTAACGAAACCCTGTTTCAAGAAACCAAACACCAAACAAGAGAGGGTGATGGGGCGGGGGGGGGGGGGGGGGGGGGGGGGGGAGGAGGAAAGCTTACTATTAACAGTGATTCAACAGCTTTTAACATTGTTCTGACAATGTGTAATTCCTGCCCAATGCCCTCTTATCTGCTCAGCAAAAACAGTTAAAAATAATTGAACAGATAGCAAGTGGGACTTTCTCTGTGTTAAGTACTCAATCCCATTTCAGATGTTATCCTTTTTCACGTACTCCTATACATGTCACATGACCCAAATTTCCAATTTTAATGCTTTAAAAAAATCTCCCCTCTTTCTTTCTTTGTGTATGTGTGTAAATATAGTACAAGCACAAGTGTGTGGTGTGGGAGCCCACATATACATCCGAGGAAGATGCTGAGTGGCCCGTTCTATCACACTCTGCTTTATTTCATTCAGACAAGATTTCTCATTGAACCTGGAGCTAGGCTGATCACCAACAATTTTCAATGATCCTCCTCTTTTCATCACCCACCCTTATTAGCATAGCCATGCCTGACCTTTTTTTTTTTTGTTGTTGTTGTTTGTTTGTTTTTTGTTTTTCGAGACAGGGTTTCTCCATGTAGTTTTGGTACCTGTCCTGGATCTCGCTCCGTAGACCAGGCTGGCTTTGAATTCACAGAGATCTGCCTGGCTCTGCCTCCTGAGTGCTGGGACTAAAGGCATGAGCCACTGCCGCCCAGCCATGCCTGACTTTTTAAAAACTGATTTTTTTAGTGTGTGTGTGTGTGTGTTGTTGTTGGTGGTGGTGTGTGTGTGTATACTCTCAAACAATGTTCACAGTGTGCAGAAGGAGGCATTGGACCTCTAGGAGCTGAAATTACAGGCAGTTTTGATATACCTGATATGGGTGCTGGGAATTCAACTTGGATTCTCTGCAAGAGCAGTACTTTCTCTTAACCACTGATCTCTCTTCAGTCCCCATGTCTGGCATTTTATGTGGGTTCTGGCTCTAAACTCAGGTTCTCATACTTGCCCAGCAAGCACACTTACCCACTAAGCCATCTCTTTATTCAAAGTCTTGTGCTTCTAGTAACTTCTCTATTGGCTTGTCTAGCTGGCATTTCAAATTCAATGAACTCAACTCCTTATCATTCCTTAACTCTGCTCTTTCCCCTGTCCTGCTGATTTTTGTTTTGGGTTTCACTCTCCACTAGTCATCTAAAATAGCCCACCTTACAATTCATTTTTTTTCTTTCTTTTTTTAAAAAATAATTTATTTTTATTTTATGTGCATTGGTGTTCTGCGTGTATGCATGTCTGTGTGAGGGTGTCAGATCTTGTAGTTAAAGTCAGTCGTTAGCTGCCATGTGGGTGCTGGGAATTGAACTCATGACCTCTGGAAGTCACTGAGCCATCTCTCCAGTCCCCACAATTAATTTTTGAGACACAAACGTCACCTCTCACTGGTGAAAATGAGAAATTAGTGAAAGCCAACAGTTTTAGCCTGTTAAGTCAGAAGTATCACTAGCTAGTGAGAAACTAAGGATATAGGGTAAATCACCAAATTAATAATTTTAAAAGCCAGTCAAAAGCAAATAAAGCTACAGAGCTGTGTGGTTACAGGAACTAGAACAGCCATCTTGAACAGAAGATTCCAGGCAGAATTCTGATAGAGAAATTAAGGACTTCTTCATGGGACCTATCTGCCAGAAATACCAGCTTAGACTTTCATATGAGAGAAATTGATTCCCATGTCATTATTTTGGGAAGCTGTTGTGTAATATCTGTGCCTCTATGTAAACTAAATTTGCATATTCAGTTCTACTTTGTTGGCAGAATGGCAACAGCTGTGAGGGGGATGAACACTGCTTTTTATAATGAATAGTGGCAATGGTAATGGCACCATTAAAAGAGATTTTAATAACAACGAAGGAGAGGACAAGAGTAAGGAGATCCATAATCAGAAAGAAAATCAGTTGTAATTATACTGACTGTTGGGGGGATGTAAGGGCTTAGTCTATCCATTGATTTACAATAAACTGTCACACAAAATTAGTAGCTAAAACAATGACAATATTTATTTTGTTCATAAATATGGCAATTGAGAGTATTTGGGTTATAAAGTGCCTACAGAGAGAAGGGTTAGGGAGAAAGAAGAAGAGGAGGAGGGCAGGAGAAGGAGAGGAAAGAGGAGGGAAAAGAGGGGTGATGTAGGAGAGAGGGAAAGGGAGGGGAGAAGAGAGAAGGGAGGAGAGAAGGAGGAGGGAAGAGAGAAGGAGGAGGAGGGTAGGGTTCTGTCCCTAGCCTTAGAGTCATCTAATGTCACTTCTGTTTCAATCTGTTGATTAGAAGAAAAAGTTGCCTAAGAATGGCCCATATTCAAGAGAAGGTGAAATCAAGTCTACTTTTTAATTTGAAAAGTGTTAAGTTTTGGACTTGGTTTAAATACACTACAATGGGAATTATCCCATCAAAGATTATCATAAATAATTTAACATACAATAAACAAAGAAAGGCATTGGCTAGTATTTGGTCCTATGCCTATATATAGCTGTATGGTACCTGGAAAAGGTAGTTGCTATTCTGAATACCTATCTGTTTCATACTCTATTAGTGTATGAAAAGGAAGAACAAGGGCTGGAGATGTAGCTTAGTTGGAAGAGTTCTTGCCTGGCATACTAGAATGGAACACTAGGTTCCATTCCCCAGCACCCAGCAACACATAAACTAGGTGAGGCTGTAGACACCGGTAATCCAGCACTCAGGAGATGAAAGCAGGAAGACCATAAATTCAAGGTCTTTCTCACCTGTGTATGGAGGCTGAAGCCAGCATGGGGCAATTGGGACACTCTCTCAAGAAAAAAAAAAAAGGCGAATGGGGGATGAATATTTGGTAACAGCTAGCTTTCTTTGTAACATTAAAACCATTCATTCATTCCTTCATTCCTTCACGTATTCTTCCCTCAAAATGGGCATAGATAGGGAAGGAGTAATATCCATCTAATGCTTAACTCTATGGAGTTCAGTACAGCGCCTGGGTTGTAAGCTTTTGAGAAATATAGAATTAAAATTTTCTTACTAGAGACCATGATTACAAAGTGAGAATCAAACCTTAGACCTCCGTGCTCAATCTTATAGACAAGTTACCAATCTTTTAAGGTGCATGATATTCAATGAAAACCTAATATCTCACCCACCATCCCAAACCTTTCTGGTTTGCTCTACAAGGGAGGCGTGCTTCCAAAATACAGAAGGTAGTTTGTTTCCTATACTTTCTTGTCAGCGTATTTTTCAGAGCAGGATGTTGGTAACGGAAGGCTCAAGTCTGTGTGCCCCTCTATTCCTTACATGGCCTTTGAGAGCCGAGATTATAAATCAGTAGTTAAGACCAATGTCTTTGGACTCAGGGTTGCAGTTATCTCTCTGTTGCTTTCTTTAAGCTCCCAGGGCTCCATCTAGAAAATAGAAATACTTCATACGTTTTTGTAAAGCGAGATAAAGCCCATGAGAAGTGTTCACGAATGCCTAGCACAACCATGATTTTGTCAAACTTTTCTTTCTTTCTTATTTAAACTTTACTTTCTGCAGGCTTCACTGAGCAAACAACTTTACTTATTTAGTCCGTCTTCCAGTTTAACTTGCACCTCTACTCTAGACACTTTGGAAACAGTTCCCAAACCTCCAGCTGCCACAAAGCATGGCGTTCTTTACGACAGTGTACGACGTAGCGACCAGCTAGCCTCCGCCGCTTGGGCCAATCGCGCTGCTCCTGGGAGATGACGCATCTCTCTTGCGCATGCGCAGGGAGGGGAGACCTTGGCTAAGCCTACCAGTCGCTCAGCGGAGGTGAAAGCACCGTCGGTAGGGTCAGCACTGAGGGAAGATGCAGAGCTGGAGTCGTGTGTACTGCTCCTTGGCCAAGGTGAGGGTGCTGGACCAGAGGCGCAGAGATGCCCGCTCATAGGTCTGGACCCGGCCTGCTGCCGGCAACCGCCGCGGCCCCGCCTCTGTGCTGGTTCAGCCTGGCCTCCTGGGGCCGCGGGCAGCGGGAAGCGCGGGCCGGGCCGGGGAAGGCCCCGCTGTGGAATGACTGCCCGCAGCCCCACACCCCGCTTCCGGACGTGGGCCGAGGGGCCTGGCCTTTACCCGGGCACGGGGACGAGTAAATCACGCCTGTCACCCGCTGGGTACCCACCCCATCATACCTTTTGCCTCAGCCCAACCCTGACCTGGGAATGAGTAGATAACCTTGAGGCGCGAATGGCCCAGACGTGGTCAGTCCGAGCACACAGCCATGCGAGTTCCTCTAAGGTCTGGTCTGCGTTCGAGTCTCTAAACTAGTGCCCTCTTCCATCCGCCAGACCCAGGGGCTTACATTTTTAATTGCAGCCGTCTGTCGTCCAAACCACTTTCCCATTTCACCTGCCAGTATGCGGCGTCGTGGCTGGGTAGCGTGACAACTTTAGAGATAATACATCGATCAGACTCTTTATTTCACGTCTGAGTCGTCTGTGTCCTCAAAAACTAATGTAACATGCAAAATGCCGTTCTTTTAGGGAGAAGCTAAGCTGGGACTAAAACTCAGAACAGTTTGCTCTTCTTTGGTTGGCATGTCTTGATCTCAAGGGCAGAAGTTACCGCCAAGTAAAGAACATTGCTACATCAGAGTATATTGTCACTGCCTTCCATTGAATGGCTCGCTATGATAGGAGCTGGAACTCTGCATTGTTTCTTTGCCTCACTGGTCTTAGGAAATGGTAGGCATAGTGTTTAGAGAGTGTGAGATTATGATGCAATTTGTGGAACTTCCAGAATGTGAGTACACCGATACTGTTGGTATGTTCCTAGTTTAATTTTCTGTTCATAGTTGGTAGCTCAGAACATCTTCATAAATGTTGTGATTACAGACTGTTAAATAGATGAGTTAGAAAGCATAATAAGTGAAATGATTGTTGTTGAAGTATTCAAGTACCTGAATTCAAAGTTTCAGATTTTTAATTAGAATACTAAAATGATCTTTGGCATTAAAATTAGCCTGCTTTCTGACATTTTAATAAAACTGTAAGCCATTGAGTATATTTTATTAAGTTAATATGCGGTGGTTCATTGAATATTCATAATAATAAGGCAGATCTGGTAAGAAAAGATTGTGAAAGTTGAATATTATTGACAAAGAGGGGAAATTGATAGGATACCCTTTGTGGTAACAGAAAGACCATTAAGAATCAGTGCTTGACAGGCGGATCTCTGTGAGTTCGAGGCCAGCCTGGGCTACCAAGTGAGTTCCAGGAAAAGGCGCAAAGCTACACAGAGAAACCCTGTCTCGAAAAACCAAAAAAAAAAAAAAAAAAAAAAAAAAAAAAGAATCAGTGCTTGATACATTTGCCCCAATTTGTTGTCATCAACCTTCTAAATTACATTTATTTATTTGCATATATCTGTGTAGGCATGAGTGTCTGTAGAGGTTAGAGTACAACCTTTTGGGAATGTTGGTGGCAGAAGCCTTTATTTAACTATGTCACCAGGACGTTGTAAAAATTATATTTTACTTAACAGGACAATTTTCTTTGTCCTTTTTTTCTAGAGAAGCCATTTCAATCGGATATCTCATGGCTTACAAGGAGTTTCTTCAGTGCCTTTAAGAACTTATGCAGATCAACCAAGTAAGTACTCGATGCAGTGTTTTCTTTGTTGTTTTTGTTTTTTGGTTTTTGGTTTTTCGAGACAGGGTTTCTCTGTGTAGCTTTGCGCCTTTCCTGGGACTCACTTGGTAGCCCAGGCTGGCCTCGAACTCACAGAGATCTGCCTGGCTCTGCCTCCCGAGTGCTGGGATTAAAGGCGTGCGCCACCGCCGCCTGGCTCGATGCAGTGTTTTCAATCAGATTAGTTGACAGTTCATTTCCATTTTTATGTAAAAGAAAGTGAGTGTTAGAGTAACTGTTACTCAGTGTTAGAATTAATTTATGCATTAGTTTACTGTTGAACACCTAGTATGTTACAAGAGGTAAACAAGACAGAATCCATTCTTTTTTTTTTTTTTTTCAGAATCCATTCTTAAGACACTTAGAGGCTAGTATTAAAAGATAAGTAACAAGTGTTTGGAGAGTAACTGAAAATTAAAACACTAGGATCCTAGAGAGGATGTCAGAGAAAGCCTTTTGAGGGGGTGGTGTCTGAGAGGGGATGGGGCTGTGAAAGGTCTGAAGTGGAACTTAATTTTTGAGCCTCCAGGAAAAGCAAGACTAGGGTGGATGTGCAGAGTCCCAAGAAATAAAATCAGAGACATAGGCAGGGATCGTGGAGTGCTTCTAAGCCAGACCAGGTGGTATAGATTTTACTCCAGTTGTGATGGAGAGCCACAAGGGGGTTTTGAGCTGAGCAATTTCATGTGATTACAGCTTTTAAGAATTAATTTTATCCACTGGGTCAGATCGTTTTGGTTGTTTCAAAGCTTTTTGACATCTTGAATGAAAATTTTTAAGACTACCATAAAAGGGAGCTGTGGGATGTATAATTTTCTCAATGCTTTCTTGAGGTTTTGAATTTTCTATAAAAAAAATACATATTTTTAATAATCACTTGGAGGGCTGGGCGGTGGTGGCACATGCCTTTAATCCCCAGCGCTTGGGAGGCAGAGCTAGGATCTCTGAGTTCAATGCCAGCCTGGTCTACAGAGTGAGATCCAGGACAGGCACCAAAACTACACAGAGAAACCCAGTAGCTGAACAAATCTCCCTCACCTGCCAGTCCCACAGCTGCTTGGATCCAAGTAAACACACAGAGACTTATATTACTTAAAGCTGTATGGCCGTGGCAGGCTTCTTGCTATCTAGTTCTTATATCTTAAATTAACCCATTTCTATTAATCTATACCTTGCCACGTGGCTCGTGGCTTACTGGTATCTTTACATGTTACTTCTCATGGTGGCAGCTGGCAGCGTCTCCTGACTCAGCCTTCCACTTCCCAGCATTCTCCTCTCTCTTTGTTCCACCCATATTTCCTGCCTGGCTACTAGCCAATCAGCACTTTATTTATTAACCAATTAGAGCAACACATTCACAGCATACAGATATTCACAGCACTCCCTCCCTCTTTTTTTTCCAAAAAGGAAGATTTTGACATAGTAAAATTACATATAACAAAACAATTATCAAGCAAGAATTACATTTGCAATATCTAGTCTATTTATAATACCTAGTCTATTTGTATTTGGCAAAATTAAAGAGGATATCCTATCTATCGTATATTTGTGAGTCTAAGGTTTCATATCTAACTTATCTTTTATCATAACTAAGAAAATCATAACTATCTAGTCTTCAACTACATCATAGACCTCAGAAGGATATAATATTACCTGAGAAACAGGAGAAGGACAAGCAGCTTTTGGGAGTCTTGTGAGAGCAGACAGAGACAGCTGGCAGCCTGGACAGTCATCCAAAGTTCCTTTATAAAGTTGGGGCATCTGTCTTCAGCCCACAGGCCTAGTGTCTCTCAGTCACTTCTCTGTGTCCTGTAGAATGCCTGGCAGTTTCCTCTGTGAAGCAGGAACCTGAAGGAGCATTTTGCCAAGCAAAGTTCAGTGGTCACCTTCCTATGGGTCCTGCATGTCCAGTCAATCAAGCAGTCCAGGCAAGAACAGTTTCTTGCCCAAATGGCTATTTTTGCCAAGAAGAAGATAAACTGCATATAGAACGTCTTCGATGCCCATCCTCCTCTCTGAAGTAAATCCGTGCTGCCAGGAACAGACATGCCTCACTGTCCAGAAAGTCTAAATTTTTAAAACATTTTCAATGCCATATTCTGTAGGTCTTTGAAGTGTCTGAAGATTACTTACCTAATTGAACTATATCTGGGTATACCTAGAAAATTTAACATGACTATAAGTTTGACTATCATAGCAGACTAATTATTAATCTTTATTTTTCAATTATCCATTACAATCTAAATGAGCTACACAAACACAATACCTCAAATGAGAGCAGAAACATATATACAGTATAACAAAATTAAGTTTAAACTTGTATCAATAAACTAAAATCCATAGCAATATAAAACATTTATAAACAAGATGTTGCTCTTTAAAAGTAGGTTCATTAATCTACCCTTTTATCCTATATATCTATACTATCCCCTTTTCTTCCTTAGAAAGAGATTGCATTTATAATCAACCTGCTTTAAATAAAAATTTGGTTTTTCTCTGTCCCACACCAAAGGGCTTTTCTGATATAGGACAGAAGAATCTTTCAACCTTTTATTTTAGCAAATATGCTTGGGTTTAGAGAAGGAGTGAGCCAATTCCATCACCAAAGCCAGCTTGGTATATTTGGGAATTTGGGCATAGCTTCTCATACTACTACTTGCTAGATGAGGACACTAAAGAAAAATTTTAGGATTATGGGGTAGTCCGTGAGGCTATATTGTGTGAGCCAGTTACAGCATACAGATATCCAACGCAAAACCCTGTTTCAAAAAACAAAAAAACAAAACAAAACAAAAAAAGCACTTGAAATGGGATAAATGAGCTTTTAGTGTGGTATTTAACTTCCTAGTACAAAAAACATTTGACATGATCTATTTACTGGACTCATTCATAAAATTTAAATTTTAAAATATTTTACTATTTAATTTTGTGTCTATATTATGGTGTGTGTAAGTGTATGAGTACCTGTGTGCATGCCACAATTCAGGTGTGGGGATCAGAGGACAGCCTTAGGTGTCCTACAGTTGGAGACTGTTAAGATATATTCATTGCCTTCTATTTTCTTTTCAGTCTTTGGGCAGGCACTTAGATTTTTTTTTTTTGGCGTGGGGGGGGTGGGGGGGCGAGTTCAAGACAGGGTTTCTCTGTGTAGCTTTGTGCCTTTCCTGGAACTCACTCTGTAGTCCAGGCTGGCCTTGAACTCACAGAGATCCTCCTTGCTCTGCCTCCCGAGTGCCGGGATTAAAGGCATGCGCCACCACCGCCCAGCTAGATTTTAATGGAGTGAGACCATACTGTTTAGTTCTTGTCTGCTTAACACAAACTAGAGTCACCTGGAAAGAGGGACCTTCATTTGAGAAATTATCTCCATAAAATTGATCTGTGGGCATTATGTAGCTTGTTTTCTTGATGTGGAAGGGTCAAATTCACTGTAGCAGGTAGTCATGAGCTATTATAAGAAAGTAAGCTGAACAAGCCTGTAAGCAGCATTCCTTCATGGCCTGTGCTTCAGTTCCTGCCTCCAGGTTCCTGCCTTGTCTTCCCTTTAAGATGAAGCCCTTTCCTCCCTAAGTTGGTTTTAGTCACAATGTTTATCACAGCAACAGAAAACTAAAATAGAGATAGAGTACTCTTTATTCAAGTAGGTGATCTCTTGACATTGGCAAATTGTAAATATAAAATAAGTATGATTTGGGGGTAGATGAGATACCAATAATTTTATATAATACTTACATGTAGCTGAGATTTTTTACTTAATAACTTTTTACCTCAAAAAATACTAACTTTATCAGGGCAAAGACTGATTTTTTTTTTTTTTTTTTTTTTTTTTTTTTTTTTTTTTGGTTTTTCGAGACAGGGTTTCTCTGTGTAGCTTTGCGCCTTTCCTGGAACTCCCTTGGTAGTCCAGGCTGGCCTCGAACTCACAGAGATCCGCCTGGCTCTGCCTCCCGAGTGCTGGGATTAAAGGCGTGCGCCACCACCGCCCGGCTTGATTTTTTTTTTTTTAAAGATTTATTTATTATGTATACAGTGTTCTGCCTGTATGCCAGAAGAGGGCACCATATCTCATTATAGATGGCTGTGAGCCACCATGTGGTTGCTGGGAATTGAACTCAGGACCTCTGGAAGAACAGCCAGTGCTCTTAACCTCTGAGCCATCTCTCTAGCCCCCTGATTTTTCTTTAGTACCTAAGATGGCACAGTTGATCCTCATTACATGCTTACTGGATAAAGAACACTGAGGCCGTGTCTGTTTTAGTTACTATATCACAAAATATCCAATTTGGTCACCATACAAAATAATACCAGCTACAATCCCATACTATTATCTGATGTATGGCTTAGTTTTGTTCCAGGTACAGTCTCAAAGCCTCATGTCTGTCCTACTTGGCCATTCCTCTCTGTTAGCTCTTAGAGAGGGGAAGAGAATCTTTCTAATTCTTGACCCTACAGTCACTATTTTTATTCTTTTTGTAGAGTATTGGTTGACCAGCTTGAGAAAATCAAAGCTTATGATCTCTGTTAGAACACCTAGGAGGTGTTTGAATATTCTTATAAAGCAAATTCATCAAGATGTGTAATGTCCTGTTAACTGTGACCTTGCACTTTGATTTGTTGCATTTAGATCATATTTACATTCATTCATTCATTCATTCATTCATTCATTCACTGTTTTGTTTATATTATTTCTTTTCTTTTTTCTTTTTTTGGAGACAGGTTTCTCTGTGTAGCCTTGGCTGTCCTGGAGTTTGGTCTGTAGATTAGGGTGGCCTAGAATTCGCAGGGATCTGCCTAGCTCTGCCTCCTAAGCATTAGTTTTAGTTTTTTAAAGGAACATTTATATTAAATTCCATAGTGCCTGGATTAATATACATTTCAACCCATATAACCCATAAGGGCTTCTTTTATCCCTGTACCCTGACAGCGTTTGTTTTGTTTTTATAATAACACTCTGAGTAGGGTGAGACATACTCTCAGGGCAGTTTTGACTTGCATTTCCCTTATGGGCAAGGAAGGATGTTTAACTTTTCATGTGTTTGTTGGCCAGTTGTACTTAATTTTATAAATTTTGTCTGTTCATTATTGAATAGATTATTTTTGTTTAATTTTTTGAATTCTTTATCCTAGATGTCAATTGTTTGTCACCTGTATAGCTGGTTCTTTGGAACTCTCCAGGTTTTGTTTCTGTGCAGAAGCTCTTCAATTCTAGGCAACCCATTTGTCAGTTCTTTGTTTTTTTGGGCGGGTTCAAGACAGGGTTTCTCTTTGTAGCCCTGGCTATCCTGGAACTTGCTCTGTAGACCAGACTGGTCTTGAACTCAGAGATCCACCTGCCTCCTGAGAGCCGGGATTAAAGGCATATGCCATCACTATTTTTTGGTTTTTGGTGGTGTTATTTTCAGGACTGTGGGAGCACTTTTCAGAAAATCCTTGTTTAGCCTGTACCTGAAGTATTTTCCTTTAGCAGTTTCAGAGTCTTATGTGAGGGTTGTTGGTCCACTTTGAGTTTTTGTACATTGTAAGAAAAGAGACTCTAGTTTCAGTCTTCTATGTATGGATATCCAGTTTTCCTAGCACCATTGTTGGAGAGGCTATCTTTTTTGGAGTCTTGGTAAAACAATAACAAACAACAACAACAAAATCCATGTGGCTGTAGTTGGATGGTTTTATTTCTGTGTCTCATTCTATTCCATTGGTGTACATGTCTGTTTTGTGGGTGTGTCCACACACACCAGCACCTTGCTTTTTTTGTTGCTATGGTGCTATAGTACAGAAATTATGATACTGTTGGTGGTGTTCTTTTTCCTCAGGATTGCTTTGACTGTCCGGGAGTTTTTTTGTTTTTTGTTTTCTATTTTTGTGAAAGATTGCATTGAAATTTTGATGGGTATTACATTGAGATTGTTTGTCTCTTTTGGTAATATAGCCATTTTCACAATATTAATTCTTCCTATCCATGAGGAGGGAAGTTTTCCATTTTCTAGTGTTGTCTTCAGTTTCTTCCTTCAGTGCTTTAAATTTTCAATGTAGTGGTCTTTCTCCTCTTTGGTTAAATTTATTACTAGGTTTAAAAAGTTTCATTTATTCATTTGATGATATTGGAGATGCATTTCTTCCTGTTTTCTTCCACAGCATGTTCATTATTGATTAATAGAAAAACTACTGACTTTTGTACATTGATTTTGTGTCCTGCTGTTTCACTGAAAGTGTTCATCAGATCTGAAAGTCAGAGGAATTAATTTTTGTGGACAGCAATGTCAGACTGGCTCCTTATTACCACAGAACAGAACTGAAAATACATGTAGCAAATAGAAGTTAGACATATCTTAGGTATTTAATTACTGTTTTGTACTAAATTATTGGTTAGCTGCTTGAATATAGTAGTGATCTAAACAAAACTGAACTTCAGATTTCACAGTCTTCCTGGTGAAGACAACATCTAACAAATACTTGTAATCATGATAAACAGGCTAGTGACTAAGGATGAGGATTTATGAAATCTATCATATATGTGGATTGGGAGTGGTTGCATAATTCTTAAGGATTTCATGTTTATGTATGTCATGATTATTAATTGTCAACTTGCCAGCATCTGGAATCACCTAGGAGATGAGCCTTGGGGACATACATACCCATGAGGTTAGGATTAGCTTTTAAGGAATTACCTTGATTACATTGATTGGTTGGGAAAATCCATCTTAATTGTGGGGGTGACTACTACCTGGGCAGGGGATCCTCGAATATATTAAGTGGAGAAAGGGAGCTGAGCACTCTGCTTTCTGGTTGTGGATGTGATATCTCCAGCTTCCTCAAGCTCCCGATGTCTTAACTTCCCTGTCATGATGGCTGACATGACCTTGAACTGTGATCCAAAATAAACCCTTCTTTAAGTTGCTGTATTTTGTCACATCAACAGGAAAGGAAACCCAGGTGTTGTCTGAAGAGGGGTGGGTAGACATGGGTGAATGGGTGAATAGTGTAATGTGGAAAGAAGCATAGGGGTGTGTGTGTGTGTGTAAATTTTTTTTTGTTTTGTTTCATTTTTGTTTTTTTGAGACAGGGTTTCTCTGTGTAGTTTTGGTGCCTGTCCTGGATCTCACTCTGTAGACCAGGCTGGCCTCAAACTCACAGAGATCCACCTGGCTCTGCCTCATGAGTGCTGGGATTAAAGGCGTGCACCACCGCCGCCTGGCTGAAGTATAGTATGTTTAAACCACTAAAAAGGTCACAGTGCTAGCACATTGAAGATTGAGAGTTGACTTCTCAGATAGGAAGTTGGGAATCAGTTTTAAGCAGATCCATCATAGGATCAAATTTATTTTAAAGATCATTCCAGTTACAGGTTGGGCTTTATTTTAATTTTTTTATTTTTCTCTAACCATAAGAGGCAGGGTAAACACCATGTACATATATTCCAAGAGCTTAGTGTTTGAAATGGGAAATGCATGCTGTCAGTATGTAGTTGTAGATAATGAAACAATGCATATACGTAGGCTTGTAGCTAGAGTTTTCCTGCCTGACCCACAGTCAGGACAAATTTCTGACACCCGCCAGTCCCACAGCTGCTCAGACCCAACCAAGTAAACACAGAGACTTATATTACATCAAATTTTGAAGTCAGTATGTAGTTGTAGATAATGAAACAATGCATATACGTAGGCTAGTATAATCCTGTGTAAGTGAACACTGAAGCTTAAACTGCTTGGTACTGATGGGTATGCAGAATGGGGTGGGAGATGAGACTGGAGAAATAGATACTGAAAAGATGTTGGTGTTATACTTAGGAAGGTGGAGTTGCTTTAGTAAGAGACAGGGAAATTAATGAGTTAGAAAATAAGATCTGAACTGGCTTTTCAGATCTAGCACCAGGGGTAGCAGTATCAGCTTTTGCCAGGATGGGACTAAAGCTGGATGCTTATTTTCTAAAGTCTGGCCAGACAGAATGTGTCAGGCAGATCTAAGAAAGGAAGCAACATTTACTGAGTGCTTGGTATGTACCCAGCACCTTAGACTGTTAGACATCATTACCATTATACATAGGTTGTTATCAACAAAGAATTGAAAAAATTTTTTTTCTCAAGAATTTAAGGTTGTATAGTTACTATTTGACTCCAGATTTTAAAAAAAATATATTATTTTCTCTTTATTTTATGTGTATGCCCTCATGTATATGTGTTCATCATTTGCATGCCTGGTGCCTATAATGGCCAGAAGAGGGTGTCAGATTCTCTGGAACTGGCATTACAGAAGGTTGTATACTTCCATGTGGTGCTGGGAATCAAACTCAGGTTCTCTGAAGAGCAGCCAGTACTCTTAACCACTGAGCCATCTTTCAGCCCTGAACCCAGATTGATTTTAGTCCTTCTTTTCTTTTCTTTTTTTGTTTTTGTTGTTGTTGTTGTTGTTGTTTTGAGACAGGGTTTCTCTGTCTAACAGTCTTGGCTGTCCTAGAATTCTCTTTGTAGACCAGGGTGGCCTCGGACTCACTGAGATCCACCTGCCTCTGCCTCCCAAGTGCTGGGATTAAAGGTGTGTGCCACAACCACCGCCTGGCTCCTTATTATATTCTTAAGGACTAAAAGTTTTTAGGATTATGATTAGAAAGTGAATTATTTCAGTTCAGGATTTCAGATGATGAGCACTTTGAGGTAAGAATGAATATTAACATATTTATGGGAGAAGCTTGCAAAATAGCTTGGAGATTAAGGCCATTGACAGTTTAAAAATTACCGTTAGCCCTCAACATTCTGTCTTATGATTACAAAGTAAATTTTTTTTTTGTGATTATTTTACAGATGAAGGGTTAAAGCGAAGCAGGTCAAATTATTCACCCAAGGTCATCTTGCTAGTGGTTTAAAGTTTTGCTCTTTGGGATTTTAACTTATGAAGGCTGAAACTAAAGAATAGGATTGTATTAAATAAAAAGAAAAACACCAGATGTAGAGTCGAAAAGCTTAGTTGGTCTCTGCCACTTAGTAGCTAGATAGTTTGGGCTAGTCAGTTCATTTCTGAATCTCTTATTTTCTTCTTGAAAATGTTATATTTATATCACCCTTGTCTTCCTCATATTACAGAAGAGGTATATCATTCGGTATATGATAACCAGTGAGTGGCAGCTGGATATAAGGTTCATATTCTAGGATTCAGTTGTATTTGCATACTATAATGAATAGAAAATAAAAGTGCGATTTCAAAATTTGTACCATTTTTAGTTGCATCAAAGAACATCAAATATCTTGGAACAAAATAATGCCATGTAGAACATGCTGATTATTTGGAGGGTTTTTGGTAAATGTTAGTGATTTACCATTTTATATCAATCTGCCCTTGTTATAGTTGATGCAGATGTGACAGTGATTGGTTCTGGCCCTGGAGGATATGTTGCTGCCATCAAAGCTGCCCAGTTAGGCTTTAAGGTAAGATAGACCCAAAGTAGATGTTGCTTTGTTTTATTATGGGTAAGCTTATTTTAGCCACAACATGTTTTGCAGGTAAAAACATGGGAAATAATTAGACAATTAAAAAAAAACCATGTATTTGGGTGTTTTACATGCCTGCATGTATGTTTGTGCACTGTGTGCATGCAGTGCCCACAGAGGCCAGAAGATGGCATCAGATCCTTTGGGACTGGAGTTATAGACAGTTGTGAACCACCATGTGGGTTCTGGGAATTAAACATAGGTCCTCTGGAAGAACAACCAGTTCTCTTAACCACTGAGCCACCTCTCTAGCTCAGGAAATTATTATTAGTTTTTAAAATATAGATTATTTGTAAATCTGAGACTAATGGGCTTTATTGGTTATAGTAGTCTCATAGTATAGAAAAGTCAGCTTTTTTTTTTTTTCTGAAATACTTCATTTGAGATACAGTGATAATACTAAAACATGTTTGTGGTAATGTTGGACAAAAATCTTTTTAGATTAATTCACTCTGGAGTTATCCTCATTTTTTATTATTGAAATGATAGGTTTCAAAGGGTTCTTTTAGTCTGAAAAAGCACAACTTTAGTAGCTTGCTTTGTAGAGCAATTTAGACATGTATATTTTGAATTTTAGTGAAATGAAATATGCCTTTACATGTAATTAAATAATGTTCTCTTTGATTGTAGACAGTCTGCATTGAGAAGAATGAAACACTAGGTGGAACATGTTTGAATGTGGGTTGTATTCCTTCAAAGGTGAGCATGTGTTTCAAATGCTGCAAAGATTGTTTTTCATTAGCTACTGCTGACTACAGAGATGTATTGAGACTAGATTGGTAATCTAATACAGTTCCTTAAAAGGAATCTGAGCATGTTTATAAGACTTTTTCCTTTGTAAACCTTCTACTACTGTCACAGCCTATCATACATTCTGGACATTCATCCTTTTCCAGACTCCAGTGTTCCAGTTTTGTTTTTTCTTTAGCTTTCCATTGCCACTGAAAAGTTAATTAGTAAATTTTTTTTTTTTAATGTTCTTGTATGTGAAAACAGGAAGCCCCTTTTGACCTGCCACTTTGAAGTGTGTTCGTACTATTTTACTTTTAAAGAACATAATTTTGTTTTGTTTTTATTCTTGTGTGTTTTATGTCACTATTGTTTGTCTTAGGTTAATTGTGTAAGAAGGAAAGATAAATTCATATTGTAGTGTGTTCTATTCTAAATAGAAAAATGTCATTTTGTAAGTTTGCTATGGAGTCTATTTATAATTTGGTAAATTTGCCTTACTTCTTTTAGGCTTTATTGAATAATTCTCATTATTACCATATGGCCCATGGAAAAGATTTTGCATCTAGGGGAATTGAAAGTAAGTATACTTTTTATAGTTAATAGTACCAGTCATGCTTGACTCTTCTTGCTAAATACTGGTATATATGAACAGATATTTATTCAAGGATGAGTGAGATAAAAATCTTGAAATTTAGAGAGATTTACATAGGAATGCTTAGGTTCAAATTTCTACCATGACAACTTCTGTGCCTTTGCAAGCTTTTCCTAAGTTCTATTTTTGGTGTCAGTGAAAAGTCAGTTTTTAATTTCCCTCACAACTTTCGAATGTGGGAGAGGCTAGATTCTTGAGTGCTGTGCTATTGACAGGCAAGATTGAAGGAAGGAGAGCAGGCCTACCTGAGTTGTTAGTGGTGGAAAGAAGAGAAAGAGAGCTAGAAGGGAGGGAGAACGGAGAGGTTTAGTGAGAAAAGAAGACTGTTTATAACATTTGCATTTAGTCTGTATTGTCTTTACCATGTTTTGGAGGGCTGTTTTTAATCCCTTTTTTCTAGTTATATTTGACAAATACTTCCAGAAGATAGACTTAATATACTTGGTGGTGTTTATTTTTGCAGTAGTAGTTTTCTGAAAGAGGCTGTGTAGGGAGTCCAGCATATAGATGATGTGTATATACTGTAGCAAATATGTCACACTCTGTGAAAGTACCATGATGTTAGAAGACATGGGATAGTCAGAAGACATGCATAATAGGCAAGCTTTATCTTTTAGCTTCATGACCTTTGCAGTCAGAAATGTCTAAGAATCTGTGCATGTGTTAGCTGCATGGGCTGGTTGCTGTGTCTTTTCCTCTGCATTCTGTTGAGTTGAACATTTTTTTTTTTTTTTTGGTTTTTCGAGACAGGGTTTCTCTGTGTAGCTTTGCACCTTTCCTGGAACTCGCTTTGGAGACCAGGCTGGCCTCGAACTCACAGAGATCCGCCTGGCTCTGCCTCCCGAGTGCTGGGATTAAAGGCGTGTACCACCACCGCCCGGCTGAGTTGAACATTTTTTATCTTACGTTGTTGCTTTAGTATTGAGTTAAGTGAATTTTAAAATCTAGCTGATTAAACTAAACTCATTATATTATGCTTTTGTATTTTGAAATGTTGAAATATATACTTAATTGTTTTTGTTTCATGAAATTTTAACATTTGTCTATATTTATAATTTCAGGTAATGTTTTACTTTGCCATTTTTACTTAACTGTCTTCCAGACTAATAACCATCATAAAGTACTTGTAGAATGTCACAGTGGAATAGAACATTTTTATTTTAGACTGCATTTTTTGCACAGATGCACATTTTACAGTGCTTGATAGGTTCTATTATTGTGATGTGGTGATTTAGCTTTTCTGGCTATAGTTATGTCAGTTACTAAATTTTAGAAGTTAATACTGTCTTTTATATAGTTTTATCAACTTTGAGATGAATATTTTCAGATCTTGATTAGTCAAAAACTATCACATATTGCTTTCAGAGTTTAAATAATGACAAATTTATATAACAAATTACAGTGTCAGAAGTTCGCTTGAATTTAGAGAAGATGATGGAGCAGAAGAGCTCTGCAGTCAAAGCGTTAACAGGAGGAATTGCCCACTTATTCAAACAAAATAAGGTTAGTTGGTGTTCAGTGCTCAGATTCACATATACATTGTTTTAATTTACAAACAGCGGAAGGCACAGACAGATACACCATGCGACAAGCCTCATGTGGAGGATTTTATTGAGGGGGGAAGAAAGGAGGCACAGGGTAGCCTCTGGAGATGGGAAGCCACAGGAAGAGAGGAAGAGGAGGAAGAGAGAGAAAGGCTGGGGCGGAAGAGAAGGGAAGAGAGATGGGAGGGGACAAGAGAAGGAGGTGCTGAAGCAGATGAAGAAGTGATGATGGGAGACTGGAGAGGGAGACAAGGAGAGAAGAAAGTGGGGGAGGGGAGAGGATAAGGGATGGGGTGAGATTTGCCTTTAATAAGGGGATTTAGCACCTGCCATGCAGTGCATGCATATGCACGACAGTAGGACCTTGTGCTGACTAAGTGATGCCAGAAATATATGAAATAATTGCTTTATGCTAATAGAATGATGCTCTATGATCTTGGCCTGCTGTGGGATATTTGATTTAAAATAGTACTAAAACATTTTAAAAATGTAATGCATTTGTCATCATCCAAACCGTAAAAAGAACAAAAAACAAAATCGAAAATAACACTACCCTGAAACAGATATCCATGAGACAGTGTTCTTGCTGCTACATGTGTTACATATTATTAAGGAAGTATTTTATGTTCTGTGTTACTGAGAGTACTGTTTCTGTTATTTCTATCAGAAAAAATATTTTAAGCATATATATATATATATATGTATATTACTTTATAAAGGTTGTTCACGTCAATGGATATGGAAAAATAACTGGCAAAAATCAGGTCACAGCTACAAAAGCCGATGGCAGCACTCAGGTTATTGGTACAAAAAACATCCTTATAGCTACGGGTTCAGAAGTTACTCCTTTTCCTGGAATCACGGTATTTATGTTTTCTAATTCATCTCTTAAAACCTTTCTTACAAAATAGGCTTTTATAAATTTGTTCTATTTATAAATGTTGAGTGATTACTGACTGAAACACTATAATCAGGCAGCCATTTAGCTTGCAAAGTTACTTATTGTTTTGTAGTGATTATGATCAGATATAGAACATTTTAGAGTATGTTTGAGTTCAGTATGAGGTTAAGCCAGGCATGGTGGTGAATACCTGTCATCCCAGCATTTGGGAGGAAAAAGGCAGGAAGATTGCTACAAGGTCAGTGTTAAACTGGTCTAGCAGCAAAGACTACACAGTGAGACAGTCTCAGAAAAAGAGCTAGTGAGATAGCCCAGTCAATAAAGTGCTTGTTATACACTTATGTAAACAGTGGGTCATAGTGGCATGGGCTTGTAGTCCTAGCAAAGCTGAATGATAGCTGAGGTTGACCTTTTGCCTCCACACACATAAATATGTATACACAACAAAACACAAAATATGAAGTTAAAATTAATCATTTTTATTTTGGAATATCAAATTATAAATCAAATTAGCATTTTGAATGAGAGTTGATGAAATTATGATATTTGGAAGCCATGAATTTTATGACATGAGATCACAATTAATAACTCACTAGGTTTTTCTAAGTAATTCTGCTTGATTTTGCTTTTTTTTATAGATTGATGAAGATACTATAGTGTCATCGACAGGAGCTTTATCCTTAAAAAAAGTTCCAGAGAAGTTGGTTGTTATTGGTGCAGGAGTAATTGGTGTAGAATTGGTAAGTTATTATATATTATATTATCTCTGTGGAGTTGAAAGGGACTTAAAGCCTCTTGGGAGGCTGAAGAGATAGCTCAGTGGTTAACAACACATACTGTTCTTCGAGGGGACTCATATCAAGCAGCTCACAACCACTTGAACTCCAGCTCCAGGAGTTCTCCACCTTCTCATATGCACATACCCACATACACATGCACACATAATTAAAAATAAAATCTCTGTCTCTCAAAAAGAAGAACAGGATCGGGCATGTTTAAGGTACAAGACAGAAGGGAGAGATGGCTCAGTGGTTAAGAGTACTTGCTGCTCTTGCAGAGGAACTGGGTTCATTTCCCATATGGTGACTTTGAACTATCTGTAACTCGAGTTCTAGGGGATCTGTGCCCTCTTCTAGTCTCTGAGGGCACCCGTTGTGTGCATGGTGCACAGACATACATGTAGGCAAACACCTATTCATGTAAATTTTTTAAAATCTTAAAAAACAAAAACAAAACAAAAAACCCTACCCCTATTTGATTCTTTACATAGCATTTTAGGTCAGTCAACATTGAGTTTTGCTTAAAACTTTCTAGTAATAGCAAATACACCTTTTCTTCCAGTATAGCTTATTTAGGTAATCATTAGTCTTTAGTATGTCCTTTATTTTATAGTCTGTTTCTTGGTTTTCTCATCCTTCCTGATCATTGGAACTGGCCTCCTTTTTAATCTGATAACCCGTAACATACTGAAAAATAGTTCTCATTCTGAGCAAATCGCATTCCAATAAAGCGATAGCATTGTGTATGCTATCCTTGCATACACAATGACTCTTACCTTCTTCCTAACGTGTATTTTAGAAATGCCAAGTTCTGAGCACTATGGTATTTCATATCTTCTGCCTGCTTTGTTCTCCTTTCTTACCTATTTGCTAAGTTTCTACTTACTTGTAACGAATCTTTCCCTTTATTTCAGGTATCCTCTTACAGGGCCATCACATCTTACTGTCAGGGATTGCTCTGCCTCTCTTGCCCTCAGCTCAGACTTTTCGTGGACACACTCATCTCTTAATTACTCCCACTGTAATTAGGTGCTTGATTTTTCTAGTTCAGAAATTCAGTAGCTTATATTATTTGTGTTTTTCTGTCTTGACTGATTTCCTGATCAGTTTAGTTTCCATAGCCTGTTACTTTCACTGTTCTCTTAAGTGAGTCACTTAACCATTTTTTATACCGGGTATTGAACATAGGGACTAGTGTTAGTTGTTAATACAGGCCTCAAGCATGCTAGGCAAGCATTGTACTACTAACCTATATCCTCAGCCCTCTTGTAGATGTAATTCTAAATGGTCTTATTAAATAAGAAACACAGAACCAAATGAAGAGTTAAAAGCCCAGAGATTGAGCAGCAGCCAAGAGCTAAGACCACCGTATCTTACCACTCGCTGTCATCCCTCCCCTGAGAGAGACCTTCTTCCTGTGTCCTGTCTTTTTATTGCCTTTCTGTTCTGCCTTCTCATTGGTTCTAAATCCAACCACTTGACTTCTTCGTCACTGCCTGTCTATACAGACCTCCAGGTCTCTATGGTTGGTACTGGGCTTAAAGGCGTGTGTCACCATGCTGGCTATGTCCTTGAACACACAGAGATTTTGCCTGCCCTGTGATCAGATTAAGGGCGTGTGCTACCACTACCAGACTTCAGCTTAATGGCTTGCTCTTAGAGCTCTGATCCCCAGGCAACTTTATTAACATACAAATAAAATCACATTTTAGCACAAATAAAATATCACCATACCCTCTTCTTTTTATTTTGAGTCAGAGCTTTTCAGTAAGTTGCCAAGGCTGGCCTTTCAATTCACTTGGTAGCCCAAGTAGGCATTGAACATGGGATATCCCTCCCTCTGCCCCCTGGGTATTGAGGATTACAGTCCTGCTCTACCATCAGGCTTGCCTGACTTACTTTACTTTTCTGACATACTTGCCTGGAAAAACTCTATAGTCTTGGTTGAATTTAGCAGTCCATCTTCCTTTGCTATCCTCTTCACGTGGAGGAAAGTAGACCCTTCAGATTGGTACCTGTATTAAGTTCTTATTGGAGTCATAGACCTTAACATGAACCTCAGCCTGGCTGATAATCGATTATTTCTCGAGCTGAATTCTGGTCTCTGTCATGTCCACTTATTTCTCTTGTTCTACTCTACTGGCACATTGTTTCCTCTACCTCACATGGGACTTCCTGAGTAACACATAGGAGAGAGCATGGGATGAAAATGCTTTTGTCTCATGGCTCTCCTTTTGTTGTTCTTCCTGCTACTGTGAAAATACCATTTTCCCTAAGAGTAATCTTGATCTCTTCACCTCTTCTTTATACTTTATAACATGATTTTCTGCCTTCACAATGACTTAGTTTTGTGGATTTTTTTCTTTTCTTTCTTTAAAATCAGTCTACTTTCTACCCCTTCCCCCTTTATTGAGAGAGGGTCTCATATAACCCTTACTGGCCTAGACTATGCTATGTAGATCAGACTGGCCTTGAACTTACAGTAGTCCTTTTAGATTGTAGGCGTGTATACCTGGCTATTTTCGTTTTGATTCACAGTTGAACATGCCTGTTTATACCGGGGTGTCACACACATGCTTATGTTTATGTAAATATAAGCCTTCTTGTAAGCTTGTCCTTCAGGTACTAATTTTCTTCTCACTTTCTTTTTTCCATCAAATTTCTCAAAAGAGTATTCATGTTCTATCACCTTCTACTTAATCCTCAGGCCATGACCTCTTGTGCTAAGAAATTACTCCTGAGAAGGACACAAATGGGTTTTATTACTCAATTCATTGGATTGTTTTCTTTGCTGCTGTGTTTGGCAGCAGTTAGCTTTGTGATTCCTTGCCTTGGGAAATTTCCTAGCTTCCAGGCTTATTTTCTTTTTTTCTTTTTCTTTTCTTTTTTTGGTTTTTTTGAGACAAGGTTTCTTTGTGTAGCTTTGAAGCCTTTCCTGGATCTTGCTCTGTAGACCAGGCTGGCCTTGAACTCACAGAGATCTGCCTGCCTCTTCCTCCCAAGTGCTGGGATTAAAGGCATGCGCCACCACCACCTGGTAGCTTCTCAGACCTTCTACCGTGCTGGATTTCCATCTATGCTCTGGCTTACCGTTTTAAAAAATATTTATTCATACTCCTTTTTTCAGTTTCCCTTTAATTGTATTACTCTAGATTCCAGTGCTAGGTTTTTTCCTCGACCCTATCTATCCATGAAATGTTCTTTTCACTATCATCTCGGCTACCAAAGGACTTACAGTATCTATAACCTAAGACTCTGCTTCTGGATTTTTATTTCTGAATATACAGCATCTACACTTAATGTGTTTTGTAGGCATTCTGTTCAGTTATAATAGCACTTTTCTATCTTCATTTTTCCTTTCCAATAAAGCTACACTCATTTCTCATCTAACATTTCCTTCTTCAGTGCGTCTGCTGTTATTCTTGTAGAGAAATCCACAAGAACTCTAGGAGTGAAACCTGATTTCTCACCTGACCTCTTGTCCCATAATCATTCCCTGAGTTCCAGTGAGAGTCACTTACTTAGATCCTAGTTCATGCCAACATCATGTCTTACCCTAGACCTTCCTGACTTTAACTTCTAATTATAACCAGTGGTCTTCACAGTGGCTATAAACAGTTGTTTAATTGTATCCCTTCCCTTCCTTAGCTGAAGTCTTTGAATGGCTGTTAGGAAAATCTAACCTTAGTATTGTTTGAGGATAAGCACTTTGTGGTGGTGGTTTATTTCTCCAGCTTTATGGCCAACTCTTCTCCTCAATCTCAATTCTCTATATCAGAATATCAGTTCTGAGCAAACATTACACCTATTGATAAACATTCCCTCTGGGATAGTTCTTTTTTGTTTAGTTTGGATTAGTTTTTAAGATGTCTCCCTGTGTATCCATGGCTGGCCTAGAACTCGCTATGTAGACCCGCCTGCTTCTGCCCCTCGAGTGCACCCAGTAGGGTATTTCTCACTTGTCAGTTCTTGCAGTATTGTGAGCCTTGCTTCATGAGTGTGGAGGTAGTTTGGTGCTTCTGCTGTTTGTATTGTTGTACCTGGAAGTTTTGTTTCTTATTACCTGATCTCTTTGATTTCATTAAATCATAAACACAAGGACAGAGATCATAACTGTTTTGTTCACTATGTGTCCTTAGTATCCAGCACAATTGCTGATATGTAATAAGTATTCATGTTTAGCTTTTATTATTTCTCAGTAGACATATGGTAACTACCTTTCAAAACCTAGCTTAGTTGCCTGTTTTATTTATTTTTGAGACATAATCTACTCTGTAGCCAGATTGGTTTGAAAGCCATGATTTCCCTGCCTCTACTTCTTAGTTGCTGGGAAGACTGTGGCCTGGTGTTGTATCTTTTTCTAACTTGGGGGGTCATAAAAGGCAACTCGTGTTTTAGTGTCTTGGGCATTATATCCCATGTTTCATTTTGAGTTTTATATATATTTGTGGATTTTTTATAGCCAAGTGTTATCTCATCTTCTGTTCATTCTCATCATAAAAATGCATGAAATTTGTAAATGACTGTGTAAATCAAACTTAATTAGAAAGATACTCTTGCCATTTAAACTACTAGATGATTTTGATATGAAATGTTAAATAATATATTTTTAAAGGCTACCTTTTTGCTGTTTTTCTAGTGCTAGGATTAGAACTTGAGTCTTGCACATTACAGGCAAGCATTCTGCTACTGAACCCTACTCTAGTCCTAATTTCAAATTTTATGTTGTTTCATATTGAATCATTGAGAAGTCAAAGCCATGCTACTTGTTAAAACGTAGTATTCAATTTAAGTCAAAATTTGAGTACCAAAGTAAGCATTTCTCCTTTGTTGAGAAAATATTTTCACAGCCAGCTTAATATTTTACAGACCTTAGTGATTATTAGTAGTAAGAACATGCTTCCTTTTTTTAATTGTTTGAGAATTTCTTACATGCATATAATATATTTTGGTAGCATCCACCCTCCATTCTCTCCACTCCAGATTTTCTGATATCCCTCCCACCACTTTCCTCTCTCAGCTTCATGTATTCTCTTTTTAAACACACTGAGTCCATTTAGTGCTGTCTGTATGTACATGGGTATAGTGTATCTACCGGAGCATGGGTAGCTTTTTTGGTACTCTATCCCTAAGAAAACTTACTATACATTTCCCCAGCACTATCAATTCCAATAGCTTCTCACCTAGGAGTGGGATTTTGTCAGCCCCTCCCCTGTTGATGCTGAGATGTTGACTGTCTTAATCTTGTACAGGCCTTATGCTTGCAGTCACAGACGCTGTGAGCTCCTGTGTGCAACAGCCCTGTCATGACCAACAAATACTGTTTTGCCGTAGATGTTTGTCTACTACTTATGGCTCTTAAAATCTTTCTATTCCAATTTCCGCAGTGATTCCTGACCCTTGGGGGAAGGGATGTGCTATAGATTTAGAGCTGAGCACTCCATAGCTTCTCATTTTCTGCACAGTTGCCATTTGTGTATTTCTGTATTAATCACCATCTCCTACACAAAGAAGCTACTGTGATGAAGGCTGAGAGATTCATTAGTCCAGGTTCAGGACTGCGCCCTATCCTGGATTTACAACTTTAGCTGAAATCAATGAGGTCAACATCATACTTAATCTCAGGACTCTTGTATTTACTCTTCTCCTCTGCCCTGAACACTCTTCTCTCAGTCACTGCTGTATTTCATTTCCTTCTGTAAATGTTACTCAAACTGAAGCAACTGTAATCATGCTATCTAAAATGGCCCCGGCTTTGTCTTCTCTTTTCTCATAGCACTTTTATTATCCTCTAGCATGAATTTTACTTATTTGTTGACTTCCTCTACCATATTGTAAAGTCCCCAGAAACACCAAGTTTTGTTGTTTAGTAACATGCCTAGCAGCTATAATGGTACCTGGCCTGTAGTAAGTAGGTTCCCAGTAAATGTGGAATAGGTGAATAAATAGATAAAATTATCTGTTTTCCTAGAGCTTCCCCTGAACATTTGAAAAAGATACTACAATAAATTATTTAAGATAATTAGTAAATGGTGTATTTTTATATGATTTTTCTTAAAAATTAATTTCAGGGTTCAGTTTGGCAAAGACTTGGTGCAGATGTGACGGCAGTTGAATTTTTGGGTCACGTGGGTGGAATTGGAATTGATATGGAGATATCTAAAAATTTTCAACGCATACTTCAAAAGCAAGGGTTTAAATTTAAACTGAATACAAAAGTTACTGGTGCCACCAAGAAGTCAGATGGAAAAATTGATGTGTCGTAAGTATGCTACATTTGTTTTTGACAAATCATCCTAGCTTGTCTCAAAAAAAGCACTCAAGTTTTCAGATTAACAAATGTAGTCTAGACTTTATAACTTAGACCCATCTTATTGTTTTTTTATTATACAGTATTACCTATCAAATTAGCCAGTAATTTTGATGCTAAAAAAACCCTAATCAGATAGTCTCATTGTGATATATTTTTCACTGTATATATTCATAAAAGGTAAAGCCCCTTATGTTTAGTAAAATATACGCAGCACTTTTAGACAGATGCATGGGGGGGGGGTTGATGATAGTATTACTTAAATTGATAGCATGTATCTGGCACTCATTGAATACTTACCTAATTCAACAAAGTAACTTCTTCACAGTCACACGGTTGGTGATAGATGGAGCCAATCAATACTTGAACATAAATCTTTCTAAGATACTTTTTTGAGGGGCAGGGTGGGGGCATTTAAGACAGGTTTTCTCTGTGTAACTCTGGCTGTCCTGGAACTCATAGACATCCTCCTGCCTCTGCCTCCCAAGTACTGGGATTAAAGATGTGCACCACCACTACCCAGCCTATCTTTTATGTTTTTTACGTTGTTGGGGATCAAACCCCAAGACATCATTCATGCTTACTTATTCTACCATTAAGCCATTAAGCTACATCCTCAGCCATGAGACCTATGTTCTTACCACTGTGTTACACTGCCTGGTTTTTATAAGCTTTTTAAGAATAAACTTTTAAGAATTTGTATGTTTGATTGCATGACTCATGTTTATAATTTTTATAATTTATAGTTTATAATTACTCATGATTATAATCAGCTGTCGATGTAGGTACGTGTTAACAGTTACCACTGTTTGTTATTTAGTGTTGAAGCTGCTTCTGGTGGTAAAGCTGAAGTTATCACTTGTGATGTACTCTTGGTTTGCATCGGTCGACGGCCCTTTACTCAGAATTTGGGACTAGAGGAACTTGGAATTGAACTAGATCCCAGAGGTAGAATTCCAGTCAATACCAGATTCCAAACTAAAATTCCAAAGTAAGTTGAATAATTATCTATGTTTTCTTCTTTCTCTATAAAGATAAAAAATGACACATGATGAGGCAGGTGTGTTCTAAAGGAATACATAGCATTTCTACCCTAATAATTTTACCAAGTTTAAATACTTCAATTACTAATAATTTAGATCTTTATTTTTATTGTATGAATGTTTTACACATGTATGTCAGTTTGCCATATATGTGCCTGGTCCCTGTGGAAGTCAGAAGAGGGCATCAAATCCCCTGGAGCAGGAGTTACAGTCAGTTGTGAGCCACTGTGTGGGGTGCTGGGAATTGAACCCAGGTACTCTGCAAGAGCAGCTGGTTAACCATTGAGCCATCTCTCCAGCCCCAATTACTAATGTTTATATTTATTTATTTTTTAATGTGCATTGGTGTTTTGCCTGCATGAGGTGTCAGGTACCCTGGAATTGCGAGTTAACAGACAGCTGTGAGCTGCCATGTAGGTGCTGTGAATTGAACCCTGGTCCTCTGGAAGAACAGCTAGTGCTCTTAATAATTAAGCCATCTCTCCAGCCCAATTACTAATATTTTTAATTGAAAATATTCTATTTACATTTCAACTGTCTGTCTATGTTATTTAGAGATGAAATTTTGCTCTTTGGTCCTGGCTAGTCTTGAACTAGACTCAAATGATGCTCCTTTCTTTCTTAGGCTCTCAAGTATTGGGCATTTTCAATAATTTTAAATTTATTTCAAACACTGTTTTGAAAATAAGGCTTTAAATGTAACTAACTGGATTTTTCATGGCTCAAGGATTAGATACTTAGCTCTGGTTTTTGAAGAGCTGCATTTGATTGTCTTTTTGGTGACTTATTAGCTAAAAGTATGTTTCTATGTTATAACTAACCTCCTTAGATTTTAGACATTTACTGTGTTTATTTTTTCTGATAGTATTTATGCTATTGGGGATGTGGTTGCTGGTCCAATGTTGGCTCACAAAGCAGAAGATGAAGGCATCATTTGTGTTGAAGGAATGGCTGGTGGTGCTGTGCACATTGACTATAACTGTGTGCCATCAGTGATTTACACACACCCTGAGGTTGCTTGGGTTGGCAAATCAGAAGAGCAATTGAAAGAAGAGGTAATCCTAAGTGTGGGATTTGAACTAATGGCACCAGTGACTAGAAAACACATCTTGCTGGGAGTGGTGGCGCATACCTTTAATCCCAGCACTCAGGAGTCAGAGGCAGGCAAATCTCTGTGAGTTCAAGGTCAGCCTAGTCTACAGAGCAAGTTCTAGGAAAGCCAGAGCTACACAGAGAAACCCTATCTCAAAACAACAACAACCACAACCAAAAAAAATCCCCACATCTTTGCCTTTAGTAACTGTAGAACATTATAGCTTATGTATTTGTTTATTAGAATCATAAGGGTAGAATCTCTTACTCCTTTGGGTAGAATCATTTACTCCTTTGATTTGTCAGCAATAGTAGAGATGATGATAAGCCACCTGTACTCAAAAACTGCTAATTGCAGAGCCTTTTTGGTTTTTTGAGACAGGGTTTATGTAGCCCTGGCTGTCCAGGAACTCACAGAGATCTGTCTACCTCTGTCTCCCAAATGCTGGGATTTAAGGCATGGTTGCAGAATTTTTTAATATTTGGCTTTGGGATACAGCCAAATAGCATTTATACTTGCTTACATTTCTTCCCACATTAAATTTCATTAACCTTCCTTTGGTCATTCTTTCTGTGTGCCCTGAAGAATTGCTTTCTTGGGACTTATTTTCTTAACAATTGGTAGATGATTTCACTAATGGAAACCAACTTTTACAGTGCTTAATGTATGTTCTCATTTTTTGTTCTCCACAGGGTATCGAGTACAAAATTGGTAAATTCCCATTTGCTGCAAACAGTAGAGCCAAAACAAATGCTGACACAGATGGCATGGTGAAGATTCTTGGACAGAAATCAACAGATAGAATACTGGGAGCACATATTCTGGGACCAGTAAGTATTACAAAGTCAGAGAAATCCCAGTAAGACTTCTGGGAATCATTTAACAGGCAGAATTTAGTACACTTGCTATTTCTATTCTGCTGTTGCTAATTATTGCCAGTGAAAATTTGACTAGTGAAAGTTTGCTTTTAGCAAGGTACCACAATAGCACTTGCACAGTCTTGCCTACCATATCATCTACTTCTATACTGCCTAAAACCCACCAGTGATGCTTCACAACCTCAGACTGTAAGGATGAGGCCTCGCTGATTCTGGTTGTATTCTGCTCTGCCTTCCCCACTCTCGGTTCTGACCTTATCTTTCTGATGGTCGTCTTTGCTCATTCATTTCTTTTTTAAACTTTATTTTTACTTTATGTGTATGGGTGTTTGCCTGCATGCATGTCTGTGTACTGCATTAATGCAGTGCCCACTGAGGCTAAGAGAGGGCATTGGATCTACTGGAACTAGAGTTGTGAGCCACCATGTGGGTGTTGAGAATTGAACCTGGGTCCTCCGCAAGAGCAGCCAGTGCCTAACTGGTAAACCTTCTCTCCAGCTCTTTAATTTCTTACCATGTAAAAAGGTGAACCTTTTTCCTTTTCATAGCAGGTGAAGCTTGGTTTACAGTTTGGGGCCTTTATATATGCATATTATACCCTTGGTGTAGAGCACTCTGCTTCCAGACTTTTGTGTGTTCTCAGCCCAGATACCTCCTGAGGGAAGGCTTAGATTTTAGTGAATCTGAAGTGTATATTTCCCTGGTATGTGGCAGAACAGTAAAGTTAACAATATTTGCTATGCCACTTCTCCTAACTTATAAACTAATTGTTCATATTTCACTTTTACAGTATTACGGGAGAGTTGCAAAAAATTTGCATGAAACAGAAAAATAGCAAAGTGGCAGGACCTAACCCATTTGGCGTCAAAGCCCAAACTCCTCCTCTGTTACATTTCCTCCTAAGCTTTTGTCTGACTTTTCTCCAACGGCTGTAATAAAAGGCAAAGGTTTAAGAAAATATAAGGTCTGAAAGTCTAAAAGCTTGATTTGTTAATTATATGGCATTTAGTTATGTTTGCCTTGAAAACATAATTACTTTTTAATTTTAAAGGGTGCTGGAGAAATGGTGAATGAAGCTGCCCTGGCTCTGGAATACGGAGCTTCCTGTGAAGATGTAGCTCGAGTCTGCCACGCACATCCGGTAATTATTACCAACATGCACAGGCTTAATAGCTACCCAAGTTTTCTTTTGACCCACACTATTTCATGTTTAATTGTCCATTGCTTCCCTTGCAGACCTTATCAGAGGCTTTTAGAGAAGCAAACCTGGCTGCATCTTTTGGCAAACCAATCAACTTTTAATTAGAAGATTGTTTTTCCTAAAATCTGGAAGCTTTTGTCAAGGTTACATTTTTGAACAGGATAATCTCCCAGTTCCAAGAATTTTGTAGGATGGATGAAATTATGAAACTTCTGGAAGGTATTTAGTGGGTTTAAATAGAATGGAATAACCTTGTACCTGTATTTAAATATTTTGTTCCAGTGCATTAATGTGGACAGAAAGCTACATATAGTAGCATCCTGGAAAGTTTTAGACCTGTGTTTTCATGATGTCTGTGAAATTCGACTTCACTGTATTGGTATTAATGGATTTTATCTCTAATTCAGTGGAGGTGAATTTGTTCACAAGGAAGGAGCTGGAGAATTCATGTGAACATCTTGAAGAAAACTGACGAAGTTAAATTTGGTTTTCATATTGGAAACGAGTCAGTGACTAGAACAAGATTCAAATATGTACAAACAACTTATGTAAATAAAGTGATTGTCTCTCATTTTATTTAACTCCCAAATTCTTGGCAGTTTAGAGGTAGAATTACGTATTTAAACATTGAGGTTGTAGTAAGGTCTGTAAGTCTAAAGGGCATTCAGTTGCCCAAATGGAAGATTCTGTCTATAAAACTATTAAATGGAGACTCATGATTATACCAGGGAATGGAGATACCAAAATAAACATGTCTTAAATATTTATTTATTGGTTATTCTGAGTGCATATTAAGATGGTTCTAAGTCTTTTAACTACCTTTTTATTTTTTATTCTTTATCACTTTATAGCACTGAACGTTTTCACATTATATGATATGAAGGTATTTGAGTAGTCATTACCCTTTAATTTGTTTTACAAATAACTCCTAAATGTTTAGCTTGCACTTAGGAGAAACAACATAAGGGAACCCAGAAAGGTAATTGGCCTTTGTAAGTTTTTTTTTCTTTTTTAATCTTAGTAAATGGTCTTTTTAAAGAATGCTACAAAGCCGATTGGTGATAGCGCATGCCTTTAGTTCCAGTACTCAGGAGGCAGAGGCAGGTAGATCTCTGAGTTTGAGGCCAGCCTGGTCTATAGAGCAATTTCCTGGACAAGTTAGGAATACACAGAGAAGTCTTGTCTCAAAAAGAAAAAGAAAAAGTGCTACAAAATCGTATTTACTGATAAATGTTACTAAATGGCAAAGTGTTAAAATGATTGAAAGAAAGGCCACCAACTAAACACTAAATACCACTTTATATATTACATCTAAACTTGACATTTCAGATTTATTGAGTAGCTCCTAAATTTGATAGTATAGTTTTCTAAAAAGAAAATTGGAAACTACTTCAAAATATACAAACAAGATATTCGCTTGGCTGCAATGTGAAGGATATAGTTTTAAGCAAAGTTGAAATAATATTGATTCTAACAATATTGTGTAATGTGTAAGCTAAACATTTAGTAATTATGTGTAAAATGAAAGGACAATGACCTTTAATGATGCTTTAATATTGTTGCACAGTGGAACTGTATCTTCCTCTCACTCTTCCCCTCCCACCCCCCTTTTCCTTTTTGGGTTTTTTAAGACAGGGTTTCTCTGTTGTAGCCCTGGCTGTCCTGAACTCACTCTGTAGACCAGGCTGGCCTTGAACTCACAAAGATCTGCCTGCCTTTGACTCCTGAGTGCTGGGATTAAAGGTGTGCACCACTACCGCCTGGTGGAATTGTAGTTCAAAGGAAAGCTTTCACTAGTTTCCAGGCTCTAATTGCACTTTTTTTTTTTTTTAAGTGTCCAGTGGTTTTAGGACTGTTAGGGTAATTACTGTACATTGTCAAGGCTGGATTCACTCACAAACCTCTCTATAAATACATTTTCTTCTTTAATCATGCAGTTAAATTTCCCAAGTGAAAGCTGATTTAAAAACCAAGACATTCTGTTGTGCTGTTCCTCGGTGTTTGCTTTGCAGTGCCTTTACATTTTTTTGTTCAGAATTTGCAGTTATCAGAGGGTTGGTACCATATGTGCCAATTTGTCACTACGGGAGTGAAGTCTTCGTGTTTTTAAAATCTAAAATGTGAGTTTTAGGTTGGGTGATGGTTTATTTAAATCTCAAACATGCCCCCTCCTCTCTGGGAATTTTCTAATTTGGAAATAGTAAAACAATTCAATATGATTTCCTAGCTATGCAGATATACAAAAATAATAGTTGTCTAACTGAAGGATGCTCATTCAGTATGAGAATGTAAGTATAATCTGGGTGAATTAAAGGCCTAGGAGTAAAACAAGCTTTAAAAGTCTCCTTGCTATAATCTGCTAAACTCTCAGTGTTTGGGGTCTTATAGAAACAATCCTATTCACCGAGCTGATTTAGTATATAAAAGTAATGGCTTTTTGTGGAAAAGACATGGGGAGTAGTGTGTGTGAATTTTTTTAATAGATGAACCAGACATGGTAAAGTGTGGTTGTTTTGGTATTTACTAGAATTCTTCTTTAGAGACAATCAGTTGCCTTAGACCAGAAGGAAGTTGCCTCGTTTAAATTATAGCTGCTTATGTAATCCTTTATCCAGGTCCAGCTTTATTTGCACCTGCATTAGATATGGGGGTCTAAGAAGAATGTGTGAAGAACAGAAGGCTAGGCTGTTAGCCACTCTGTCAGCTACTATGTAGTTGACACAACCTATCTATTATATGCTAATGATTTTCTTTATGCTCTGGACTAGGTGCTTGTTTAGAATATTTGATTGTAAAGTTATATAAAGTATAATATAAAAGCTAAGAGTGTAAGTTGTGTGTTTGAGTAGCTTTGCTCCATTACCACGAACGGTTTCCATACACTGGCCTAAATCACTGAAGTCCTGGCCCTATTCTAGGTGGTAAAACATAGAAGCCAGTTCTTCCTTCTGATGTTTAGAATGGTTGGAGCAAAAAAGAAACCTGTAAAATGGTATAAGCTACTCTATATCCTTCCTGTTGAACTTCCACTCAGGTTTCTCCACTGGGGGATTTAAAAGGAATAAAGTTTTGAAGACAGATGTTGACCTAGCAAATGGGGTGAATACTGTTAGATTGTGTGTCTTCTTAAAGGTAGGAAAGTACTTTACAAATCCATCTTTACAGAGAAAGTAACATTTCTTGGTAGGATTCACAATGACCAAATCAATAAAAGAAACAAGAATTGTAGTAAATATATTTATATAAAACCAATGTATTTAACTCCATACAAAAGTGGGTGGATAAAAACATTAAATAGGTAATGAGTTATTCTGAAGATGACTGCATCAATTTTCACATGTAGTTAGTTACTTTGGTCACTGCAGCCTCCTTATGTGTTTCCTGTGTTATAAGCAGGTGCTGTAAACAGCAACCTTTTCACTTATGTCCTTAAGGAGTGAACGCACCTCTCCTTCCAGTCGTACTAATTCTTGAGCTTTATCTTCTAAGTATTTTTGATTGTCTTCATATTTCCTTTCTAAGTCTGTGGAGATAAAAATAAGGTTAAGTGTGAATTGTTTATAACATAAGATCTTAAAGTTAATGTAAGACCACTGTGCTGTGGGATGGTCTGTATGTCAAATCTGTTGCTCTGATTGGTCAATAAATAAAACACTGATTGGCCAGTGGCCAGGCAGGAAGTATAGGCGGGACAATTAGAGAGGAGAACTGCGAGAACAGGAAGGTGGGAGGAGATACTGCCAGCCGCCGCCATGACAAGCAGCATGTGAAGATGCCGGTAAGCCACGAGCCACGTGGCAAGGTATAGATTTATAGAAATGGATTAATTTAAGGTATAAGAACAGTTAGCAAGAAGCCTGGCACGGCCATATAGTTTGTAAGCAATATAAGTCTCTGTGTTTACTTGGTTGGGTCTGAGCGGCTGTGGGACTGGTGGGTGACAGAGATTTGTCCTGACTGTGGGCCAGGCAGGAAAGCTCTAGCTACACCACTGAAAACCTAACCCAAAGTGAATAGATTTTCACCTTTATAAAAAAAAAAAATAATAAACCAGAAGAAAACACCCACCTTCCAGCAGCTGAAGCTTGCTGTTGGCTTGAGCCAAGAGTGTTTTTGCTTCATTTTGTAGCAGCTCAGCTTTCCTCCTGGCATCTGCTGACTCTTCAGTTTTTTTGGCAATTAAACTTTCTACCTTCTTATACTTTTCATCAAGTTCACCATCTAGAGTCTGCAGTTCCACATTAAGACAGAAAGAGGTGAAAATGGTAATGTCAGTAATTAAATCCAAGAGCATTAGATCAAAGACATTGTCATCAAAGTACTCAGGCTTCATACTAAGTTGTAAGTTTTAAAAACATTGCAAAGAAAATTTGGAATTGTAAGTCAACTACTGTGGGGGCTTAACCCTGTTTACTTGGATGAGCACTTACTATAGAAAATAAGCACAACAAGCTATACAAAAGTACACTGAACATCAGGAAACCAGAAGGAACACAAAGGTTTAGGAAGGAAGAGATTGAGCTTGTGGTGGTGCACATCTTTAATCCAGGCCCTTTGGAGGAGTAGGAGGTAGATGTGAGTTTGAGGCCAGCCTGGACAACATAGTGAGACTGTCAAAAATAACAAAAAACCCCAAAAATAAGAAAATAGAGAATACAGAGTTTGGGGCAGTAGGTACAAATGGTAATTATGGAAATTCATTCCTAGAGCTTTAAAAAATTTCAATAGGGGCTGGAGAGATGGCTCAGAAGTTAAGAGCACTGGCTGCTCTTCAGAGGTCTGAGTTCAGTACCCAGCAACCACATGGTGGTTCACAACCATCTATAATGAGATCTGGTGCCCTCTTCTGGCCTGAAGGCATACATGCAGACAGAGCACTGTATACATTAAATAAATTAAAAAAAAAATTTCAATAGTATCTTTCTTTCAATGCCTCATGAGATTATTTGGGAGATTTGTGCCTTCAGAACTACAGGTAAGTAGGAACAACAAAGAAGAATTGTCTGACACTGGCAAGTAATTTTTCTTCAGGTTTGCTTCTCTTCCCAATTCAGGTGAAGTGAAATTACTTTTTTGTAATATTGAAAAGCTCCAGTAACATTTTTTTCAACAAGAAGAAATCAGAATTAGGTTATATAGTAATTTTAACAATCCTGACTCCATTCCCAAGTTTAAAAAGCTGTCTTTGGAGGTAAATTTAGAAATGAAATGTGTATGTAAAACAAATCTGCTAAATATAGTGTCTTCCAAATAAGAAGCAAAAGGTAGCAAATTCAAAACAAGTCTAAAAAGAAGTGAGGTTTGATTTCCTTTTTGCTCCTTTATTTTTTCCCCATACAAACATTAAGCTTTCCCCATTCTGTATTTAAATTATTTTCAAGTGGCCAGCTAACTGCTATGTCGTAAAGACCTTTCTCTATGAACTACAGCATAGAAATACCAGTCTAGTGTGTATGCTTTTAGACTACCACTCCAGATCATTAATTCCATTTCCCTAAACTCATACCCAAGTTGAGATATGAGGTCCTAAGTTTACATTTGGATTCCATAATTCATTATTTTTCATGTATCTCCAAAGATGTTTTAAAATTGGTCATTTGAGTGTTTGTATCTTATTAATGTCAAGGAAGGCAAAGTGAAAGATTAGTTGCCTATTTATCAACCTAGCTATGAAGTTACAAAAACTTACCTTCTTAACATCATCTGCACTCTGTTTTACACTATATACTACTTTTTCAATATATTCAGCCTCCCCAGAATTCTGGGC